ATCAAAATAGATTATAAGCTTAAGTAACACTTGGCTTTTCTTGCCACTTTTCCACTAATAATTTACTGAATATTAACCATAGGCAATGTACGACCAGTTCTCTCCACTCTTTCACAGTCGACCTACTTGTAGGAATTTATATTCCTGCTTCCATATCACTTTCCCTAAGAAGTTTTCCATTAATTTGGGTATGTATCTTTTATGTGTTTCCAAAGCATCCCATTGCCATGCTCAATGCATATGACTAATATTAGAGTCAATTATTTAATTTATGTGGGATTACATTACACATTCCATAAACGTGGAACTGTGCATGTCTTATTGTCCTTGCATGCTCAGTACTGAATACTTTGGTACAACTGGACTTAAATAGGGAGGGTAATTTGAACTGTTCTGAAAGTGTTAGAAACAGAGAAAGATAGACAATGTATCTATTTGGAGAACTGGAAGACTCAAACTTAATTTATGATAAGTGGTGATAAAGGCTATGATTGGGAATGTAAGGGAGATAAAGGTGTAATAATAATAAGGAATAGTGACCAAGGTACATTATTAAAGAAAATAAATGGGTCCGGCGCAGTGGCTCATGCCTGTAACCACAGCACTTTGGGAGGCTAAGGCGGGTGGATCATCTGAGGTCAGGAGTTCTAAATCAGCCTGGCCAACATGAAAAAACTCCGTCTCTACTAAAAATACAAAATTAACTGGGCATGGTGGCACATGCCTGTAATCCCAAGTACTTGGGAAGTTGAGGCAGGAGAATCCCTTGAACCTGGGAGGCAGAGGTTGCAGTGAAGGGAGATCACGCCTCTAGCCTGGGCAACAAGAGCAAAACTTTATCTCAAAAAAAAAAAAAAAAGAAAAGAAAAGAAAAGAAAAAACATAGAAGATAAATGTTTACTGAATATTGATTGCTAGATATGATTTCCTTATCATATACTAACATTTCAACCTAATAATAGTTTTGAAATTCATATTATCATTAGAAATGTTCAGTTACCAAATATGTATCTTTGGGCAAATGAACTTTGTTAATGAGTAGAGGATTCTTCATTTTTTGTACATTTTTTAAAATTATTTTTTATTGCATTTTAGGTTTTGGGGTACATGTGAAGAACATGTAAGATTGTTGCATAGGTACACACATGGCAGTGTGGTTTGCTGCCTTCCTCCCTATCACATATATCTGGCAATTCTCTCCATATTATCCCTCCCCAACTGCCCACCCCCTCGCTGTCCCGCCTCTATTCCCCCTGCACAGGCCCCGGCATGTGATGCTCCCCTCCCTGTGTCCATGTGTTCTCATTGTTCAACACCCACCTTTGAGTGAGAACATTCAATGTTTGATTTTCTGTTCTTGTGTCAGTTTGCTGAGAATGATGGTTTCCAGGTTATTTTACTTTTATTTATTTATTTTTGCATTGACTGGGTTGTTTTATAGAAACTAGGCTGTGTTGCCCAGGCTGGTCTTGAATTCCTGGCCTCAAGCTATTTTTCCTCCTTGGCTTCCCAGTGTGTTCAGGTTACAGACATGAGCCACTGTTCCTGGCCTAGGATTCTTTATCCTAGTAGATTCTTCATGGAATCATTGCTATTGTGTCATCGTCATTGTTAAAATTTTATTAAAAAATGATTTAACGTGTAAATATGCAGTATGCTGTTTGCCCTGTAAAAATTACCCAATATAGCTTAATTATTACTAAAATTATTACATTATCACCATGTATACTATCAGAATCTAAATGTTCATTCCTTTTTCATTTCAATACCGCCTTAAAACAAAAGATAAAAGCCATTCTCAATCCTCCACTTAGTACCATATAAAAAAAGAGACACACTCCCACCAACAGCATAAAAGCATTCCTGGTGGGGGAGAAGGGGAGGAATAACATTAGGAGAAATATCTAATATACACGACAAATTGATGGGTTCAGCAAACCACCATGGCACATGTATAACTGTGTAAACAAAACTGCACGTTCAGCACATGTACCCCAGAACTTAAAGTATAAAAGCTTTTTAAGTAAAACAAGAGATAATGAGTTTAAATTTTTATACAAAAACCTAGTCAGTCTTGAACAAGTCATTTATCTTATAAGTGTTTGCCAACTTTAGACTTTAAGTGGAAATAATTGCACTTGCTTGTTTTCATTGTATAGAGATATTCTAAGTTAAAATACACCTTGTCCTCTTGTGTCCTCAGGTGCAAGTGTAGTCAAGAAGTAGGATACCATTTGCTACTAGGCAATCTTTTATTCTCAAGGTCTCCTAACATAGGTATTTGATGGTGAAGAGTTAATTATACTCTTTTCCATCTGGAATCCCAGGGGCCTTATAATATTCAGAAAACAGCTCCCAATGAAAGAGATTGGTTAGATCATTACCTTCCTTCCTGAGAGCATATAAAACTGATTCATAATAGACCTTCTTGCTTTGTTTTGCAGTCAAAATGAAACATGCTTCAAAAGAAAAGCATATATCTTTATTAAAAATGTAATTTTGTATATATATGTTTGTGTATCTGTATTATTTTTTCTCTGTTTCCTTAATAATGTTGTTTTCCCGTCATCATGCTCTTATCATGATGATATTGTTTTATCTGAAATTTTAAGTTGGAGATTGAAATATCAACAATATCAAACTGTTGGTTATAAAACAATTAGTCAAAAGTTTCCTATTTTGTAAATAAAAACTAGGTCAAGGTTGAGCAAAGCATGGTAGCATGTATCTACAGTCTCAGCTACTTAGTAGGCGGAGGTGAGATGACATAAGCCCAGGAGTTTGAGGTTGCAGTGAGCTATGATTGTGCCTCTGTATTGTAGCCTGCATGACAGAGTGAGACCCTCCATGTCTCCAAATAAAAGTAGGTAGGGGTTAGACAGATGCAGAAATTACCATTTATGGAGCATCTACTATGGGTCTGGGACCAGCTTTTCACAAGGATTTTTCATGTGTGATTTTTGGATAATTTATGTAAATTGTATAGGTTTTCTTTGCCATAATGTCATTATTATTAAAATGGGAATAATTTTATGTTCTATTGTATTGAAGAGTTGTGGCAATGAAATGAGTAAAGCATTTGGAACAATCCCTGACACAAAGCAATGATCGATAAAGTATTAATAATAATTAAGTTTTTTTGGCTTTTTCCCTGAAGCAGATGATAAGAAAAAGATATTAATCAATATCTTTTTATGGAGTCAAAGAAAGTATTTAGGATATTCAGGAAGTATTGGAAAGACCCGCTCCCAATATATCAACGTGGATTCAAGGTCTCTCAAAGTAATCAAGTGGTTGGTGAAAAAGGAATAACAGACAAAGAAACAGTTTTTCTTAAAGCTGGGCCCAGGGGAGAAACCACATAATGCTGCTCCGTGGATGTCTAAAGTTCCCCTGAAAACCACAGTTTTTTATTAGACTCTTTCAATAGGAGAGCGGGAGTGAGGCTACACAACAGTGTGGAAATGATCATACAAAAGAATACATTTGCAAATAGTGGTGCACAAAAATCACAACTTGGTATTATAAAAGCAAGACAATGTAAAGATAACTTTTCTGTGTGTCAGCATAGAAATCATACACCTTAGCAAGAAAAGAGGTTAAACATAAACTTATGATTATCAGCAAGAACACATTGGGCTCACAGCTGCAAGGGGAACAGGATCTGACACAGGACAACCAGCCTGACCACAAAGCTGCAGGAGAAGGGGGCCTCCATGCAGGCCTGGAGGAGCAGTGGGAGAAGAAAGACTTTTATATTCTTTTCTCAACTACAGAGGTTTTTCCTCATGACAGATGCCCCTAATGCATCTGTTTATAGGATCTCCATAAGGGTGGCATTCCCTTTCCAGGGCCATAATCAGTATGCCTTTCCTGGGAAAGGAATCTAGGTAATAAGCCTCTCCATTACATGTCTGTTTATAGGCTCTCTGCAATGAGAAACTTATTACATACTGTGTCTCTCTCTGGCAGTCAAGCTAAGCAGTTTGTTCCTTACACAGGGTTTCTATTTTTACAAGAACAGCTCAGCAGAGCCAAAGTTACAAGTTACAACTTCAGCAGAGCCAAAGTTACAAGTTACAGCTCAGCTTTTCACATTATTCTTCATTTTCTTAAATATAATCGATACAGTAAGTAACAAGCATCAGAAAGCAAATAACTCATTTCAGGGAAAGCAAATTCTAAGAGAATTTACAGGTTAAAAATCAACAACAATTTCTTCTTATTTCAGATAGGTTGGGTTTTGCCAATTCTTCCAGAAGCTTGGGGTTGCTCAGTCACCACCAAGGGGTCCACAAGGTTTCCAGTAAGGAAGAATGAAGATACAACTATATCTTCATATTTTGTTAAATGAGAGGTTTCAACTTCAACTTCAAATTCATTATTGTACAGATTGATAAGCTTGAAAATTTAAAAACATTGCCACTTTTCAGCATCATAATTCAAAACCTAAAGACAAAAAGCAACCGCATAATAGAAAATATATTGGTTATATGAAAAATTATAAAAATCTCAAACCAGTTATACATATATAGTAGAGGTGGGGTCTCACTATGTAGCTCAGGCTAGTTTTAAACTCCTGGGTTTAAGTGAATCTCCCACCTAGACTTCCCAAAGTGCTGGGATTACAAGTGTAAGCCACTGCTTCTGGCCAGTTTTTAATATTTTAAGACAGGTATCATTACCATTACTAGGTGACTTTTCTTTTTTAATGTTTCATAAAATTCACTGAAGTCATCTAGGCTTTGTGAATTCTTTTCCAAGAGAATTTTATTATATGTGTAATGGTTATAGGACTATTCAGGTTATCTATTTCATCTTGTAAGAATTAGGTAGTATACGGTTTTTGAGGAATTGGTCCATTCTTTCTAAATTGTCAAACTTACTACCATGAATTTTTTTTTAAAGACATATATTCAGCGTCACAATCAGACTATTACGTTTAGCAATAAACAGCACGGGTGCAAAAAAAAAAGAAAAAAATCTATATTACAACCCTATGTTGGAATGCTTTACACTTTCCACAGAACAGAAATTAAAATAACCTGTTATACAATTAGTCACAAATGCAGTCCTCGAGTTTTTTGCCCACACACATTAGTATTTGTCTAAATCATGTCTTCTTTGTAGCAGCTAGGCCCTGCCACCACTGTGCTTGGCTGAGTTCACAAATCCGTTGTAACCTGTAGCTTCCCTGTCACTTCTCTGGCTCTCCTCTCCTGCTAAGCTTTGTTTCCTAATTAAAATCTTCTGCCACTGCCATAGCTACTGCTGCTACTGGAACCACCATAGCCACCTTGTTTTCATGGTTTGGCAAAGTATTGGCTGCCACCACCATGGGGGCTAACCAGGGCCACCTCCTCCATAACCACCATCATTACCAAATCCATTATAGCCATCCCCACTGCCACCATATCCACCACCACCACAGCTGCCACCAAAGCCACCACCACCACTAAAGTTTTCTCCACGACCAAAGTTGTCATTCCCACAGAAACCACCTCCACGACCACCACCAAAGTTTCCAGAACCACTTCAACCTCTTTGGCTGGATGAAGCACTCGCCATCTCTTGCTTTGAAAGGACTTTCCTAACTCACAGTTTTGGTCATTCACAGTGTGGTATTTCTGAATGACAATCTTATCCTGGGAGTCATGGTCATCAAAGGTTACAAAGGCAAAGCCCCTTTTCTTGCCAATGCCTCGGTCAGTCATGATTTCAATCACTTCAATTTTTCCATACTGTTCAAAATAATCTCTTAGGTGACGTTTTTCAGTGTCTTCTTTAATGCCACCAACAAATATTTTTTTCACAGTTAAGTAGGCACCTGGTCTTAGACTTTTCTTATTATCCTTTCACTGGTTGTAGAATCTGTGGTTCTATTTCTTATTTATTGCTGACTTTAGTGATTTGTGTTCTTTGTCTTTCCATCTTTGTCAGTCTTTGTGGAAGTTTATTAATGTTATTAATCTTTTTTTGAGAACTAGCTTTTGCTTTCATTGATTTTCTCCATTGTTTTCCTTTATCGAGTTTATTTCTGTTTTTATTTTTAACTTTATTCTGCTTACTTTAAGCTTATTTCATTTTGGTGAACTGAGAAGAAAATTTTTAAATATTGGGCCAAAATCCTGAAAGAATTCCAGCGAGTTAAATCTTACTATTCCAATGAAGATATTTTTTGATTTCTCAGAAGTTTCCTGAGAAGTGGAGCAGAACTTTTCAGAATCACTGGCTTATGAAGATAAAAGTTAAACTCTAGATGCCAGCAAAGGGAGAAGGAGGAGGTCTTTTATGAAGACATCAGACCTAAAAATAAGTGAAAATTCCTTTTTTCTTTTCTTTTTCTTTCCCTTTGTTCCCTTGAAAATGGTAGCATGACAAGGGACTAAGGAGTTTCGGGGCCTAGCAGACAGAAGCATGCCTGGAGAATGTGAAAGTGGCAGTGAGACCAGAGGTCTGATAGGGAGCAGGGTGCAGAAGGTGATCAGCATGATTAGGTGATCAGTTATATACAAAAGGGGAATTACCTGACTGAGGCAGGTTTCTCCACTCTAAAGTTACTCTTCCCCTCATACAGCACCCTTCCTCCTTTATAAGAAAGTCCCTATATAAATCTCACACTTAAGGAATTGCACAGGAAACTGTACACAAATAGGTGAAATTCTTCTGTATGGGATATTTATTTACTGCATTTAATTATTTAACTAATCGTTTATTTATATCAACATATACTCTTGTATATTTATTTTATGCTGTGGGAACGTCCCATACTATAAAGTTTTTATTAAAGTGTTTATTATATTAAAGTACAATAAATTAAATTAAAGTAGAAAAAAATAGTAAAAGAAAATAAGGAAGAAAATAATATAGTTACGTCCCCAATTTGTAAATCTTTCTTTCTTCCAGTCTTCAAAGTATATATATAATATATAATTATATATATATATAAAATACTTATGTCTTACTAAATGGAAAAATCAATCACAAAAATAATTTAAAATGCTTGTTTATTTTTAATACAGCTCTAACAAGATGAATCATCTGTGTTACAACATTATTCTCATAGGTTATAGTTGTGCATAATATTTATAAAAAGTAGAAAAGAAGAGGAAGCAAAAGAAAATGAAATAAAACAAAATTTAAGAGATGATAGTAGGAAAAAAATTTTCTTATTTTTTGTATATACGTACAGCTCAATAATCATGTAACCTGGGCCAGGCATGATGGATCATGCCTGTAATCCCAATATTTTGGGCGGCTTATGTGGGAGGATCACTTGAGCTCAAGGGTTTGAGACCAGCCTGGGCAATATAACAAGCCCCTATCTATACAAAAATAATAATAAATAAAAATTAGTTGAGAATGGTGATGTGGGCCTGATGCTGCAGCTACTTGGGAGGCTTGCGCCTAGGAATTCAAGACCAGCCTGAACAAAATAGTAAGACCTCATTTCTAGAAAAAAACTTAAAAAAAATAGATAAGCATGCATATACATGCCTGTAGTTCTACCTACTTGGGAGGCTGAGGTGGGAGGATCAATTGAGTCAAGGAGATCCAGGCTGCAATGATCCGTGATTGTGCCACTGTACTCTAGCCTGGGCAACAGCATGAGACTCTGTCTCAAAAAAAAAAAAAAAAAATCGTTAAACAAAAATTTAAGAAGAAAATGTCAACCTAACTCTTGATTATGTATTTTATAGGAATCCAAAATAAGAAAAAGTGAAGAATAATAAAATGAAATACTTAATCAGTTATATTAAGAAAGGCCTTCTTAGATCTCAGTTCGAAATTTCAGTGTAGATTCCTTCATTTGCTGATCATAATTTTTATCAAATTTTTCATTCAAGGCTACCGTAAAGTGATTTTTCCAGTCCCCTATAATTCCTGTAACAAAAAAGAAAGTACAATAAATATTAGGTCTTCACAAAGGAATCATTAGGTTTGCTAATCTCATCACTTTCATTAACACCTAATCAAATATTATACTTGTAATTCTCAATTTTAGGAATCAAATGTACACCATTATTAATATACTTATTTGATCTTACAAAGATGGATTTGTCTTAATTGGTTTAAAAATAGCAAATTTAATTCTCTGATTCTTTCTTCTTATGCCACTTACTTTATCATTCTTCTCAAGTGTCATCTCAATTGTTGGGGCTCCCAGGATAAGGTCCATATTTTACCCACTCCTAAGGTGTTAAATATCATCTTAATGCTGATAGCACTCAAATCCAGACTTATGCTTTATATACAACTGCCTACATGACTTAGCCACCTGGAAGTTGTCCAAGTTTTCCAAATTAAATTAGTTCAAAAATAAATTCATCTTATGCCTTATCATATTGTAGTTTCTCCAATTACTTTTTAATGACCTGTGTAGTGGCAACAACAGGTATCCAAACATAATCTTGGATGTTATTCCCTTAACCATAACATCTAATTTATTATTTATATTCAGGCTATCTTTGTATCTACTGCCTCTTAACCACTTTTCCTGCTACTGCCAGCTTTAGAATGTTCCCCATCTGGGTAATTACAGTAGCCCAGAAAGGTTCACCTGTTTTGCTTTCCGTCACACTTCCAACACTCACCTTGCAGAAGGGAGCCACCTTCTTTTTTAGACTAGTCAAGAGTTCACTTGCCCTGTAGCTCAAGGAGCTCTAAACTTTCTCACTGAAATAACCCAAAACCAGAAGAAAATGTATATCCTAAAACATCAGATAGGGTCTGAGAGCATAGCAGCAAGCCACTGTTTGCAAGTATGACAACTGTTTTAAGTCCTCTGTAATATTTATATGTAGAATTTTGAAAAAGGAAATAATCAAAAGAATACATAATTAAAATATAATTTGAGAATTGATTCCCTTTTCAGTGGCTCCCTGCTTTTTTTTTTCCAGTGCCAGGTTTGCTATTTCTGTTATTTTAAAATTTTCCTGACTCTCTCACTGACAATATGGTTCAAAGAGTAAGATTTGTTTCTATTCTGTTGGTTTTTGCTTCCTCACAGTAAACATCTAAGTGTCTTACATGCCTTTAAATTTGTTAACTGGCTGTGTCTCACCGGGCTGTGCCTCCTTCCAAACAGATTTTTTTTCTCCTTATATGTTGATATTTTTGCTAAACAGAGCTATATTTAAATTTCTATTTTTTGCCACTTACTCTTGAAAGGTGTTTGCCACTTGCTAAAAAAAAATGTTGACAAACTATTCTAATCTTATTTCTTCAAATCAAAAAGAAAGAAATAAAATCTTTCTGTGGAATTTCTGGTTGGAACTTAAAGGAACTATACGATATATGTTGTAGCACTGAGGCACACAGCCTTGGTAAATGACAGCTAATAGGGTATGGTATTATTTCCAGCACTGAGATTGAGGTGTCTGCTGGTTATTTTTAATACAATATGATGCACATACTAAATAATCAATAGGTAATTGCAGTATAGTAGAAGTGTAACTTAAAGAGGGTATTCAAATGTAAGAGACTGCTGAAGGAAACTTAAGCTGGGTCCAAAGGCATTAAAATACCTCACTAGATTTTTGCCTATAACCGTATCACCCTGTGCCTTCCTCTAGCATCCAGGCAAACTGCATGACTTTCTCACCCTTTCTCATGAAGGGCGACACTTTCTGGTTCATTATTTCATCTGGAAGAGTTGTGTAATTTGTGGATGGATTGTTCTTCATCTCCTGGAATGAAGTATGATGTATAATCTTGTCCACAAGCTCCTCTGATGGCTTCCTCTCCAGGAAATGTATCAATTTTATCACCTCTTTTCTGATATCCTAGGGAGAGAAAATGTTCTGAGAAGTAAATTGCTAAAATTGCTAAAGCAGAATAAATTGATATCAAAATGAAAGAGAGAAAATATCCCTTTCTCTGTTCTCCTACTGATATTAGAATTAGATTTATAATGAGGAAAAGAAAAAAAACAGTCTTTGGGGAATTTTATGAAAGCCATTTTAAGGCTGAAAAAAATAGAAAAAAACTCTGCTAATTTCAAATTATCTGCTCTACCTTGTAGTTTTCAAAGTTAGGTATGTATCCCTAGACAACATATAATTTGGTTTTACCTAACTGATGTATGTTTTTGAAGTGTATTCCCTTTCATTACAATATAATATATAATTGTAATACAATAAAATAGATTATATGTTGATTCTTAGGTATATGTATATCTGGGTTGTTTTCAATTTTTGTGGTTATGAAGAATGCTACTATGAAAATTGTTGTATATAAAACCTAATGTACATAAGCCAGAATTTTTCTAGAGTGTATATTTAAGAGTAAAATTTCAGGGTCTTAAACTTCAGGTATGTTTGCTTTTGCTAGATAATGACAAGTTGTTTCTGTTTATGGTACTATCAACAGTGGGTTACTTTTCACTGATTCACATCCTAATATTTCTTACTGTCAGATTTTTGAACTGTTATCAGTGTAGTGGGTGTAAAATGGGTGTCGCATAGTGATTTTTATTTTGAATTACACTAACAAAGAAAAATTCTATTATGAGAAAATTTTAAGTCCATAAAAAATGTGTGTATTGATATCTCAGCATTCTCTTTATATTCGTCTTCCGGAAGTTTAAGTTGATATATGTGAGACCTTATCACTGTATCTTATATACCAATCGCTTTCTTAATTTTTAAATGCTAATACTTAGTAAGAACCATTACTTGTCATCATATAGTCTATTTATCTCACTGTTCTACCTTCTACGGAATTTCCTAACTCCATCTTTTACTTCAATAATTCTCTAGGTAGCCATGTCTAATCTATTATTAAACTCATATCTTAATTTTCCATATTTATTTTTTAAATATTTTGAGAAATTCTATTTGGCTATTTTTTCAAATCCACTCTGTCAATTTTAACAGCTTTTGTTTCTTTGTAATTTTTAAAATGTCATCCTTTATTTATTTAAACATATTAAACATGGTTATTTTATAGTACCTATCTAACAATTGCAACATCTCTACATTTGAATACCTGTTAATTACTTGCCCATGTTGATTC